TTTTTTTTTTTTTTTTTTTTTACCGTTTCGAACCAACAGCCATTTACAGACGTTATTTAGTGTCCGTAAACGTCGGGGCGATAGGTGTCGCCGTGGTCTAGACTTTTCAATTTTTCAAGGATTAAGGTGTCGAGTAGAGTCTATTTCAGCAGATCCATGAAAATTTGTCGCCACTGCCAGAATTCGAACTCGGGACCTATTGACCTAGAGTTAGACGCGCTGGCCACTAAGCCATTCTGGCCAGCATGTGGTTATCTTTCAGCAAAGTAAAAATTACATAGACGTGGTAATACTCAACAAAAAAAAAAAAATCAAAATGAAAGTAATTTTCTAAAATAATTAACTTCTCCTCATTGCAAAATAGTCCATTAAATACAGCATGCACAAAAAATAAAGCAAAATGAACACTCAAAGGTTGTCATGTCATACAGATAGGTAGCTTTCACATGGACTCTAATATGTCGAATAGTATCAATGGACCACTAGACAAGGTACGAATTTCAGTATCCTGATACATGTTTCTTAACCAAAATTATACGTAGAACACAATGCGCAAAACGGAAATTGCCGAAACTAACTCCTTGCGAAGATATTTAATGATTCTTAATGCGTGAATTAAAATCATCCGCTCATGAAAAATCAATGCTCTACGTGATTCACATAGCGCGCTAAATGTTATCATGGCAGTCTCTGCTGTATAAAAATCTGCTAACCTTGATCTTGACGCTTTGGCTCAGCTGTAGCAAATAGCTTATAGTTTGAACAACACATATTGGGGAATGAACATTGCTCGATTGAGAAGCTTGCTGAAACCGTTGTAGTGCGCGATTTGACTCACGTAGAGCTTTTTTCTTCTTCAAATTCCTCGTAACAAATGTAAAATAAAAACGTTAAAATCTTCGTTAAGAGTTTGTTTCAGTAATATCGTCGCGCGAATGGTGTTCTACATGAAATTTTGGTTAAGAAACAATGAAACATGTATCAGATTGCCTAAATTCGTACCTTGTCTGGTAGTCCATTCCATATTCGTATGCACTCTGAATTTGATCCTTTTTCTATCATGAAAATTGCATTTATTAATAGTATGTCTTGAATCTACGCTTTTCTTTTTTACAGTAAAGACGAACGCAGGGTCAAGTTCTCAAACAGGAAATTTGCGATGAAGTATAATCTCGGTGATCTTTATGCGGCTAATTACTTCCATTCGGAGCCTGAACCCCCAAGCCGGAAAGGCCCAGGGCCCGAAATTTACGAGAAGAATTATCGATTGAATGCCACTAAGACGGGTCTAAACGCAGATCCATGAACAAATTATGGAGAACTTTCGCTGTGATTTGCGGAACATTTCAAGAATGACATTACGCAAAAATTGTTCAAGGGAATTTATAATCCGCGCCCCCAAATAATCAAAGAAAGAAAGAAATAACAGTCGAACTTTTAAGTTTGTTTTCTCAAGCGGATGGATAAGATTAAATTGTTTTGTTTTGAACTTATCGCAGAGTCAAGATCTGGCGATGAGGCCGGATATTTTTGATGATGCCCGCATTTTGGACCCTATTCATGTACAGGACGATCGAAAGTATTGATGCTTGGAGAAAAATTGACAAACTTTAAATTTCTTTATTTTCGACAAAACTTAGACTCAAATTCAATCCTCACATTTTTACACATAACATTAAAAAGGAATAAAAAGGATAAAAAAGGTTAAAAGGTTTAAAAAGGATTTTTTTTAAAAAAAAAAGAAAGAAAAAGAAAGAAAGAAACATGCAGGTAGACGTTTATTCCTTTCCAAATCTGAGTTTTTAAAGTGATTCATCAATTAATAAATAAATTCACTCGAGATTACATTCGAGAGAATATTTAAATATAATCCCTTTTTTCTACTCGGAATAGAGCTTCCTTTTTAATTGTGAAATTTTCTATTGAAAGGAGTCAATAAAACGCACACCCACACACTGGAAAGTTTGAACCTTCTTGTATTTAAAAAAAAATGAAAAAAACCCTTACGTGTAACAAGAAAATTCAATGAAAAATGTATCCGTCGATAATTTTCTTTTTTCCTTTTCTTCTTGTATCCTTGCTTTAGTGGCCGGTTATTAAAGACATCTCTATTTTTGTGTACTAAATAAAATATCAATTAAAACCAAACATACATCATTCCTGAATACTATTAACTCAAACGGGGAAAAAATTTTAAAAAAACTTCAATTATTAGATGTTTGCAAGATCAGCTCATGAAGGAAATAAATCACATCAAGTCTCAGAGCAGTTTCCCGGAGGGATATTGGCCCTTAGAAAACATTAACAAGAAATTTTGACGAACACGATTATTTATAGAGGTCCCAAAAAATGATGAGATGCACGAGACCGTCTTCTTTTTAAACTTCGCTCATTGGCGGAACCAGCAAATTGGCAACAATGTTTTTCTCCATTTAAACCTATGGGAATGTATCCATTCTTGGCGGGCCAGGTGCTCTGACAAGAATCGATTATTTAACATCGGATTAAACAGAGGGAATCCGGTGTTGCCAAATTGCTGGATCCGCCTCTGACTCCGCCACGCATGATTTGATATAATGATAAACGCATGAATTGATAAAATACGCATAATTCGTACATTGTAGAATGCAATGAAGGAACATGATAAAAGGAATGTGTTAATACGTTTAAAACCTCCGCAAACCTCATCCTCTTCTTCCGTAAACTAATGATTACGGAAATGACCACGCAACTCTCAACTCCTCACAGTGCGACACACCTAAATTTAACCCAGTGAACTTCCCAGAATTTTCTCACTTAAAATTTGCACGTTAAATGTTTTGATCAATGATTGCTCTCTTAACTAAGTAGTGTTACAATTTTGTGCTCCTTTCTTTTTAAATGAATGATTATACTATACCCGGTTTGTACTATACTGGCCTCCTCGCCTGATCCCCTTGTTATGAGTGATCTCATTCTGTCTCCTGTTTCCTCCATACCCTTAACCAAATGAGAAACAATGAAAAATCCCATAATAGTAATTATTAAATTATATTATCTATCATACTACTTAGTGGATGGAAAAAGAGGTTTTCGACAAAAATTCAAACCGGAGGATGACGTTGAACCTTTGTGTCCGCTCTTCCCTCACGAGTGGCCTCCAGAAGAAATCGAAAGGAGATTAAAAGGCGATGATATTATATCAGATGTGATACCTCGCAGTCCCAAGTATGTAATTAACGTAAGTCAATGTCTATTTGATTTCAGAGTGGCATGTTCCAGAGGTATATGATTGACTGCATGTTATTTCAAATCTGCTGTAATGCTTTTATTTTTCACAAATTAAACATCATAATGGAGATGTTGCATGTGTGAGGAATTTGCGATTTGACCGTTGATTCTTCTGTAAAAGTTCGCGAGAAACACGACGGTGCCACTGGTTTTCTCTGAAATCAACTCCCAAGCTTTAAAAAAAGCTCTCAAGTTGAAGCCAAAATGGAGGGGATATCCCACGCTATCCTGAGAGTCCACCTCTACATCAAGACAAAGTCTCCGTGCAAAGATAGGGAGCAAATACATTGACAGGGCTGCCACTTTATTCGGGGACTCCAAAACTGAAAACACGGCAACCCTGTTAATGTATTTGCTCCCTATCTTTGCATAGAGAGTTTGTCTTGATGTAGACGTGGACTCTCAGGGTAGGTTGGGATGTCCCCTCCATTTTGGCCTCAAATTGAGAGCTTTTTTTGAGCTTTGGAGTTGATTTCAGAAAAAACCGGGGGCACCATCGTGTTGCTTGCAAACTTTTACATGAGAATTAACAGTCAAATCGCAAATTCCTCACACATGCAACATCTCCATGAAACACCGAGAACTTTTTGTTTTCTCTGAAAAATTCGAAACAACGGGTAGACTTACCATAATGTAGATTATAGAGAGTATCGCCATTAGGAGGCCGATTTTGATTGGCTCCTCCGTCTTGAGTATCATGGAGTTTTAGGATCCAAAAATGGCGGACGGCGTGAACACTTGCAAACATATAATGACCGAATGTGGTTTTATTTGCATGTCGCATATCACGCCGAGACCTTTACTTTAGTGCATTAGTATGGCGCGCTTACATAGTTTTACAGCCAATTTCGTGGTGTGTTTGAGGAAACTCATCTTGTATAAAGTAAGATTGACAGCGAGTGCGACTGAAGCACTTATTGTTAGTGCCGCGTTACTCACGCACTATGAGGTAATCTGCCGTGCTAAGGAAGAACGCCGTATGAACATTCGAGAGTTGCCAATTTTCCTCTCAGAAAATGGTTATTTTTGAAGAAAGTTATGATTACTTCTCCTTGAAACTTTCGGGAACTTTAGGTGAAATTGAGAACAAAATTATCGGAAAAATTGGAGAAAAAATCTTCACAATTTTTTCCGAAAATTGGTGATTTACCGAAGAAAATTTGGCAACGTCTAAAGGTTCATACGGCGTTCTTCCTTAGTACGGCAGTTATGTCGTGTCGTCCAAAACTTTCTACTGAGCAAAAAATGACGCAATTAGACTGCCGACGGAAAAAAACCACTGAAAAGTGTTCATGCAGAGTAGGTACAGAGCCTGTTTTGCAATTCTTGTTGTCGCAATTCACAATCTTGCTGCTGGCTATTTTACCTTAATTTAAGGAAAATTATGGTGCCCCATTTCAATATTGCAAGTTTCTTTCTGATTTCACCTTTTGACCATCCACATTTTGCGAGGGCATATAAAAATAATCAATTTTTTTGTGTGTCTAAATTGCTCCTTTTATTTCCCGCACGATATGTTAAAAAAAATTGCCTAGAATTGCGCTTAGGAGGGGTTTAAATTTTCAATTTTTTTCGCAGGATGGGCCCAAACCTGAAAAACTTACCACATGAACGTTCCCATAGAGGTAAAGATTTGGGAGGCCCGCACCAGTTACTGCGCCTGGAGCTCAAAAAGTCTGAATATGATCCTGAATATTTGAGATTCCATGCTCGACTATCATATTCTGTGTAATCTCCCTCGTAAACCTAAGGCCGGCATAATCCGATGGGCATCTTTAACAATGCCCGAGCATTTGGACTACATTTCGCAATTTGGAACTATAAATTCTAGCCTGGTTTAAAAACAACGTATATGCCATTAATTTTCCTACGCACATATGTGTTTTTCCATAAGAGCCAGAATTTATAGTTTCAAATTGCAAAATGCAGTCCATTTGTGGTGTTGCCATCATTGCCCGTCACTTTTGGGCATCGTCAAGAATGCCTGGTCTTTCAAAGATGCTCAAACCTGGTCTTTACCCTTAATAGTACATTTATGGCGTTTTCAAATATTCACAATTATTTTATCGATCAAATCTTTACATCACCTCATTTGGAATCTTGGTAAAGTTGCAGCATAAATTTTAAGTATAATTCTTTGAGTGAACTTACAAAAAAATATTACTAATTTAAACCCTCAAAAAATGTCTTGATCGACTCTGCAGATGCATTTTCCTTAATTCAACTCATACCCAACTTCAAATTCCAGCGGATCACTAAATTTCTCGGGGTAAATATCTTGATCCTATAGTTCGTGAATGTTGGAGTTCTGCACAGTTTCATCACTATTCTCTGGTATCTTGTCACGCAGGTCACGTATATCCCCGGCGTCACAGTGTATTTTGGGAATAAGCTTGAGCCCGACGAATTGAAAAAAGAGCCTGTGAAAATAGGTTGGCCGGTCACACCGGGTCATAATTACACACTTATGTTGACGGGTAAGTGGAATTTCGTCAGAACTCTATCAAAAATGAAATCGTTTAACTCCACCGATGGTAAACACCAAAATCTTGACCAAGAAAGTCAATTTTCTCCTCACAGATTATCATTGAAATTCCTAGAAAATGAAATGCACCGTGCTTTCCAAGAACTTTATTCTTCATGCATTACATGTATCTTTCGTAGGGGCTGATGACCCGTCAGTTGCAAACTATATGAATCGTGAGTTTCTACAATGGCTGGTGGTTGACATACCAGGCACTGATATGCTTCAAGGCACCACAATTGCAAAGTAGGTATGCTCCTGTGATGGTGCCACCCGACACAGGTTATTATTTCAAATTATACTTTTACTTAATAATTTAATACTTTATTGTATAAAATAAATATAAGTAAGTTGAATATATAAATGTAAGTAAGTTAATGAATCCTTTCTTTTCCTATTTGAGGTAAGAATAGCCAAAGAAATCAAAGCACGAGACAAAACAATACTATTGCACTCCTACTATACTATTTCTTTCTTTCCCGGAGTTCGGTTATTTTAATCTTCTTTACACTTCTAAGTTTCGTACCCGCGCGCCGAGAAGTTGGTACCCGAATTAATATCGTTTCTAATTTATTATATTTTTTCAATTTTAGTTTTTATTTATTCGCGTATCATTATTACAACACTCATGTGGAGTATTCTCTCTTTTCCTCAGGTCTTCATCGTTACGTTTTATCGTGTACGAGCAACCGAAAGTGAGGCCGAAGTGGCACGAACCACCAATCCATGATTTGTGAGTGCATACTTTTTCTTTTTAAAAACAAAAATGTGTAAAGAGGGTGTGTCGTGTGTTACGCAACGTGTATGTATGTATAAGAAACAACTTAATCGGCCCGAAACCCTGACAAAGAAACAACTTAAATTGGGACTAAGGCTGCAAATAATAAAAAGAACACGTAAAGTCAAATAAAAAGCCCGGGACGTTTCGCAGGAATCACACCCGCATTTTCAACCGGCAAAAACCAAGAAAATTAGAAAGAAGGACACTACGAGCCTCACCGCTGTAATTTTGAGTCTCACAATAACAGCGGTGAGGCTCATAGTGTTCTTATTTCTAATTTTCCTTGTTTTTGCCAGTTAAAATGCGGGTGTGATCCCTAGGGTGGCCCTTATTTTGGACTTTTTGGAATTTAATGAGCAGAACCCCCTAAATTGGTTCTATTTGATGTAAAAACACTGTAAAAAAATTGAGGCCTTTACGTCAAGGGTAAATGGTGCCGAAAACAGGGAAAAGATGCAGCGCGTAAAACTGAAGAAGCGCATTTTTACGCTTTTCGCCGATTTGACTGCCGTTTTTAAGGGAGTTGTAGATGCTCAACACCCATTATTGATGATGTTTCTAACACAACTTTTTGCGTAGATTTGGGATATTTTAACAGATTTGGCCTCAGGTAATTACCTACCCCCCTTACGGTAGGCTAAAGTGGCCCCAAAACGTCTTTAAAGCTTCCGAAATCGCTTTTTTCCGAAGTTCGGCGCTTGTTACCAACAAATGCAAAGGCTTCAAGAACTGTAATTTTCTTGTATGTGGTACAACTTATTCCGTAGATTAAGTATATTTTAACATGTTTGACCTCAGGCAATTACCCCTCCCCCCTCCCCCGCCCTGCGCACAGTAGGTTGAGGGGGCACTGAAACGCGATTCAAGCTCCTGGAAGCAGATTATTTCAAAGTTAGGCGCTCGTTACTTGCACTTTAAAAGACTGGAAGAAGCACAATGTTCCTCCACGTATAAAATAACTTGCAAATGCACACATTTTAATAAAAATACTGAGGAAGGGTGTAACAAAAATTAAAATGACTTTGGTTAGTCCGCTCTACAGTTTCTTCCGTAAAGTTGATTTTTTACACAAAATTTACACAATTATTTTCCTTTGAAATTTACAATTTTATGGTGCGAAGCCAAAAGTGTTTGCTATTCTGGGAGAATTTCTAGGTACTTATGAAGAAGCAACATTTTTACAACCCTGTAATCGCGCTGGTTCCTTTTTGCTAAATGCGTTCCATAAGTGTAATACAAGAAAAGCTATTTTCATTACCAGTGCTCATCAATAGGGCTGGGGATGAATTTGACACAGTCCCGCTTTTGAAAGGTGGCCTCGATCCAGCTGCGAGCGGCACACTGCGCAAAGCTAAACAAAACAAAAATCATAATTAAAATGCAAATTTACGACGGAATAAAAGTGGCAAAAATCAACACCATCCAACATCAAAAAATCGCGAGGCTGGAAATAAACTGCGAGCGAGTCGATCGGTATTTGATCCACGCGACGGCGCTTTATTGGAGTTCGTAGACCAGGGTTTATGTTCGCTAAAATTTGCTTTGCAAAACGTAACGACTGAAAACTCTATCCGGAGCCGCGACCCCCCCCCCC